ATAATTCGTGTGAATGAAGTAATCATTAGAGTCAATGAGAGATCAATAATAAAGAAGATTATCAAGGTTTTCTTGACAAGTAAATAAATGAGGATCAATAAAAATATAAAAGAAAAAAAAAATAATCCATTAAGATCCAATAAGAATAAATAATGAAATTAACATATAATATACAAGCTCAACAAATGATTGTTTGAGCACTTAAATAGAATCTTATGATGTGGTGGAATCTCAATGAAAGATACATAAGTCAAACAATCGATGAAAACATTTAAATTATATTTTTCTTCTTTTTTTGCTCAACTAAAATAAGATATTAAGATTTTTTTTTTATTAACCTGGATATCCAACCTGCTATGCGAGCCGACTAATCCTAAGACGACCACCTGCTTTGCAAATAGCCCGGAGTCACCGCATTTGAACCTCCGTAGCCACAAGAGGATTTTTATTCCTCCTTGGATTTGAACCTGAGACCTCCTGATACTTTTGACCTTTGGAGTCAAACTCAAACCAATCAGGCACCACCTTTGTGGTTATGATTAAAATTTTATGGAACATGACATATATAAGAGACATTACCAAATACATCTAGTAGAAAAAAATTATTGATTAATCACAAAACCATGAAACAAGTCAAAATTTATAAGAACAATAGATTGATTGTCAAATAATAWTAAAATATTTTATGTAGACGCAAAAATAGATAACAATAGTCAATAAAAACAATTAGAACAAGATAACCAAATAGCAACAGTCAATAAAAGCATAAATTGATAAAATATCCAAAAAATATATATAGCAATAGCAAGCACATGATCTTAACTTTGAATTATTGAAGTACGAAAACAGTCAAGTTTTTAGAGATAACAATAGCCAATATGGCAATATCATTGGACCTTGTTGGAGATAAAAAAAAGTATAGAGGAAATAAACAATAGCATATAATGAATGATCAATTAATTTTTTTTCTTCTCCAATGTAATTAGTTGATATATTTTTAAGCCCTTATTTTCTACTAAATTCTTTTTGTCTCTAATTATATGTTACAATTTTTGGATTTCTTCAATTTATTAAAAAAATTTAGACTACTATTGTAGTTTAGGRGAAAATTTTGGGCCCCTGATATTTTTGGGCCCTAGACGTGCACCCGTGTCGCCCTCTCCCAGGGACGTCCTGATTATCAAATCTAGTTCCTATTTTGAGATAATTTCATGTTATGGTTGCCTCTTTGCTAATTTTTTGTTATTCTGACTAACTTTAGACGAGGCTTGATGGTGACCAAAAGGGTAATTTAAGTAAAACATGTAATATAATGGAAAAAAAATAAAAGAAAAGGTGGAAATGCAAGAGAAGTTTTGACCACATCTTTGACCTATGCAGAACATAGTCCTTGTTGAACGGTTAACCAAACATCCTCTCGTAACTATTTTTATAGATTGATTTGCAATTCCCCAATTACAACATTACAAGATATGGACAATCACATTCTCCTTGTAATCTGTGTTGCATCTCTCCTTTTAAGCATCTCGGTGGTTAACGCTTCCGAAGAAAACGGAAAAGATGAAGTAAAAAATGCATTTGRGTCCTTCTTAGATGAAGCCAAAGAGGCACTTGGTCCAGTTTCATCATGGGATTTACGTAAAGTTAAAGATACATTTAGTCCATCCTTGGAAGAAGCTAAGGAGGCATTGGGTCCAATTTCATCATTGGATCAAGTTAGAAAGGCACTCTCACCACTTTCATCCTCCATTATACATGAAGCCAAAGACGCTATTTCACCTTCTGCAAAATCTGAAGCCTCAAAACATATCGATTCAATTACATCCTGGTTATCCCAAAAGGAGCTAGGTCCCACTCCGTTTTCTTCTTTAGACAAGGAGGAGGATGAGCAAAACGAAGAGGAATCATCTTCTGATTCWTTTGAAGAAGCTCAAAAAGAACTCGGTCCAATTTCTTCTTCTGATTTGGATAAAGAAGATGAAGGTGCATCCACTCCAGTTTCATCCCCTTCAACCGTTAATCAAGCCTTTGATGTGGCAAAGCAAAAACTTGGCTCCTTGCTTTCCCAGAGCAAAGAGGAAATATTTTCTGATTCACCCTCCAATTTAGACGAAGCTTACAAAGAATTGGGTCCAATTTCTTCTGATCAAGATGCATCCCCTTCAACGTTTAATGAAGCAAAAGAGGCGCTAGGTTCACTTTCCCCTCAAGCCTTCGACATGGAAAATGAAAAACTTGGCTCAATTAGGTCCTTGCTTTCCCAGAACAAAGAGGAATCACCCTCCATTTTAGACGAAGCTCCATTTTCTTCTTCTGGTGATTTGGATAAAAATGAAGATRCATCAAGTCCGATTTCATCCTCAGATGAACCCGAAGAAGCATTCGCCCCTGTTTCACCTTCAACTTCAAATTCAAATGAAGCCTTGGACGACGTTGAAGAAACCCCGATTACGCCCTTTCTTTCCCAAAACAAAGAGGAAATATTTTCTTATTCACCCTCCATTTTAGATGAAGCCCAAAAAGAAAAACTTGGGAACGAAGAAGAAATATCTTCTGATTCACCCTCCAATTTAAACGAAGCTCAGGAAGAACTCAGTCCAATTTCTTCTTCTGATGATGTGGACAAAGATGAAGATGCATCAAGTCCGATTTCATCCTTGGATGAACCTGAAGAAGCATCCGCCCCTATTTCACCTTCAACATCAAAGGAAGCCTTCGACGACGCTAAAGAAATTTTTTCCCAGAACAAAGAGGAAATATTTTCTGATTCACTCTCCGTTTTAGACGAAGCACAGAAAGAACTTGGTCCAATTTCTTCATCTGATTTGGATAAAGATGAAGATGCATCGGGTCCTATTTCATCCCCTGTTCCACCTTCAAATTTTAACGAAGCAAAAGAGGCCCTAGGTTCAATTTCTTCTCAAGCCTTGAATGTGGCAAAAGAAAAAATTGGCAAAATTAGGTCATTGCTCACCCAGAACAAAGAGGAAATGTCCTCTGATCCACCCTCCAATTTAGACAAAGCGCAGGAAGAACTCAGTGCAATTTCTTCTTCTGGTGATCTGGATAAAGATGAAGATGCATCRAGTCCAGTTTCATCCTTAGACGAAGCCGAAGAGGCAGTTGCCCCTGTTTTATCTTCAATTTCAAATGAAGCAAAAGAGGCACTAGGTTCAATTTCTCCCGAGGCCGTGGAAGGAAGTTTTGGCCCAATTGCATCCTTGATTTCCCAAAACAAAGAGGAAATATCTTCTGATTCATCTTCCATTTTAGAGGAAGCCCAGAAAGAACTCGGTCCAATTTCTTCTTTTGATTTTAATAAAGATGAAGWAGAGGCATTTTCTCCTATTTCACCTTCAAGTTCAGATGAAGRGAAAGGTTCAATTTCTTCTGAAGCCTTGGATGAAAATTTTGCCCCAATTCCAGCTCAAATGAAGGTGCAAATACCTTCAAAATCAAGCATTTCTCCGATATACTTTGACCATGATGTGGCTTTAGCTATTGAGTCGTTGATTAAGCAAGGGCAGTCAAATTCACAACTAGCTATTGAGGAGGCTGACAAGTTATTGAGTGATGCAAATTTTAGTCAATCAAAAACAGGAAAATGTGTGAAAAAATGTAAGAACAATTACGCATCTTGTCTTGACAAACTGCATAAGGCCATGGAAGACCTTAGAGCTCGTAATGCTGAATTGCTCACCGATGATGTTAGTGCAGTGGAGGGAGACATATCCGCTTGTCAAAAATGCTTTTTAGAGAATCAGTCTCCATTAAAGGATTTGGAGGAGGCCACCATCAAGGCTACTCGTGAATGCTTAAATGTTCTACATCATTCTAGTTGAATTATACAAAACATGTTTCTTTCTTACTTACACTGTTTAATGCTTCCGAAATCATTGTTTGACATAATTCCAGAAATTCTTGTCAGGTTCTATTGTTTTTTTTTCATACGAGTCATTAGTGAAAAGTGCATTTTGTATGTTGGAACGATTGGTTTGTTTTTATGGGTATGGTAATAATCCCTTGTGTATATGTTCATAACTATTTTGARTTATTTATACCATATAGAAAAGTAAGTTGCCAAGGTTCAAAGCTCTAATTCCCCAGCCCTACATTTTAGTTATGTTCGTATGGACAAAAATGCTAAATAAAGAAACTCGATGCTCTATAAAATCGAACACATAAAAATGAGCCAACCTTGTCATAAAGCATCAATATTTTATTGTCACCGCTCATCTTGAATTGGTGTGCTCCCTTCAACAATATAAACAAAGCATCACACTTATACATGTGTTAAACTACCGTATTATAGACACGAGCAAGAATGTGAAAAATCACATAAGCTACCGGTTATAGATATYGTTCACATCTCCATATTCTCCTAATGGGGTGATTAGTGAGCCGATATATCCGGAGCACCAAAAGTAAAGAAAAACCGAAACTGAAGTAAATACCAGATGCTCATAAAAAGAATACTTAAAAACAATGTAACCTCGAACTCAAACTGCGACAAATTACTACYAATTTGCAGAAAATTGCTAACAACTATGATAAATAACAACACATTCGAATTAAAGCTATAAAACTAATTATGTGCCAATGCCTACAAATACATGATAGTCATTCAGATGGTTAACAACAACTTCTCTAGGAAATGCACATTCGAATTAAAGYTATAAAACTAATTTGTSAAATRGTTTATAAWATAATATATATTTAAGTTTAATAAAGATAATAATTAAAYATTTTGTTATGATTATCCTAATTATATTTTAGATTTTTTATATTTAGAATAAGATATTYATCATGTATTTAATTATGTTTATCTATAATTAGTTATACATATTTAAAAATTAAGTTTTAATAGGTTACACCTACGTATAATGTATTTGTTATCTTGAATATTAAGTAATATACATTAATAAATAAATTGATTTTTAATATTTTTTGTCAAATGTTTTATAGATAGAGATATAAGAGAACATTTTTGTAAATAATAGGTAGTCGGGGGACCTTTTTGTACTTCACTTTCATTATAATCGTGAAGGAGACGAAAGGAACAAGACACAAGTCAGTCAGTCGGCGCCAACATCAGGTTACTCTCCCAAAACCAACCCTAAGGTTTTTATTTTTATTTTTATTTTATCGCAGCTCATGTTCTTCATCAATCGCTGTTGTTCCTTTCGGGGTTGATTCTCTCTCATGTTCGATGAAGGTTTATTTGGATTAGAGTGAAATTCAACCACCAATTTCTCTTCTTATATATGGTAATTGATAAAGGGATTCTTATCCCATGTTTRTTTGATCCAACAGAAWAGAAAAAAAGATCTTATATCAATTTCTGGTGCTTGATGCTTATTGCAAGTTAGGTATTTAAGTTCGACATCATTTTCTCATTGGAAATCATCAGACACAATTTGCTAATAGAGCCCAGGAATGACACTGGGTTGCATCTTTGACAACTTGGTACCAGTATGTGAAGACCAAACAACCCAAGTTGAATGCCCAATGCATGCAACTGGTGTTTTCTATGTGGTAGATACTCYGAAACATCTTTCTGCCTTTTTGATAACCATTAGCATGTGATTGATTTTGGTGTGTAAAATAAGAACAGTTTTTTATTAAATGTTGGCTTGTTTTAATTCTATTACTGTATACAGTGACCATGTTATGTGTGTAAGTTTTTGAGTAAATATCTATATGTGTTATGATTTTCAAGGTGTAGGCAGTAAATTCTGCAATGGTGGATAGCTGTAGTTAAAATACTTGGTAAAGGATTTATTGGATGACATCAATGTCACCATGGTGTGTTGGTGCTTGGCTACCAYATTTAGCTGTTACTTCATTTTTTAAGCCAGGCCTATGTATGTGTTGCTTGATAACATGACATGAATCCCTGAATTCCTGCAGTACAAGACTAGGTATTCATCATTTAGGAGTTGGTGGTGAAATTAGAATGGACATGCAGATTGAAGATGGGGGGGTGTTAGTGGTTAAAGCAAGACTGAATCTTGGATCGGAAAAACATTGTGTTGAAGGTTGCAAGGGGATTGTTTCAGAACAACTGGTTTTTGTGAAAGGGGAGAGTATGTGCATATTGAAAGAATTCATCACCAGGCATAACATATCAAATGATGTCCCAGATGAAATATCATCTGAAGATGATGGCGAGAGGCCCCCAGTCAAGTCAAAGAAGATTAGAAGAGAAAATATTTGATTATTCTCCTTTCCTTGTTTGTTGTTGGATTATATCAATTAAAGATGGATGGATGGATATTCCAGCTACGTTTGTTATGTAAGAACCTTACTTTTTTCTTTTCGGAAGATAATATTCCTATTCTGAYGGTGGTTTGGGTCAATGAATATGGTTGTATATAAACTGCCAGTGCAGTGATAACAAGATTATTGACTGCATTAATGAATCAAGTAAACACAAGCCAAGAATAGATGGTTGTTTTGTTATTTTTATTGTTGCATGTATGTCGTTTTGCAAAATAAACCGGTCGACATAATCATGTATTCTCCATCAAAGTAAATGCCACCTGAGTGGGTGATTTTGTGATTGCAARTCCAGTTAGGAGTGACCCATGAACGGAAGAAGAAAGAACAAGGCTTCCTTCCTTCCTTCAAGGGTTGACTTGCAAAACAATATTATTTATTGCTGCCACGTCCTTCTCTTGCTCCTTTCATTACAAAAGATTGTATTCAGCATTCCCACAGACCCTTACATTCCACATATATATATATATATACACACACACACACATGTATCAGTTCAGGGAGGCTTAGCGCTTGGCTGCAACTTAGAAAACAAACCTTGTAACCATGTGCGATACTGTCATACTGAATTGATTTTCTTATCGACAGAAAACACCCAAGTAAAGGAAACACTCACTAAGAATTTTTCTTTAACAAATCTCTTTGAATTTAACATGTCCCTTGGCCCTAGCAGTGACAGAGCWGGGAACTTTAATTTTTATAATCATTACAAAATTTCATGGACAGCKATCACTGTCTCCATGCATGCTTAAGAAATATGCATGTTATGTTACGTTTTGCAGGTTAAAACATCTCTCAGCTACTTGTTGGTGTGAATTAGCAGCTTATTAGATTTTAAAAAATAGCAATGAAAGAAAGGGAGAGTTACAGTGAGAGCCAAAAATCTGCAGATGAAGATTCCAAGGTTTGTTGCAGAGCAGGAGGATTAATAATAGAAACAGAAAACTTGAGAAGGCAAGCTGAATGATTAAAAGAGGAAAATGAGCTGAAGCTCTACAATGAACAAGGAAAATTAACCAGGGACTCCTCTCCAGAGAGTTCTCTCCTAACAAAATAGACAACAAATAACAGAATGATTCTTATTTCCTCCCCTCCACTACTTTTAACTTTCTCCCTAACGACCCTTCTCCTTCTTCTCTCTCCTCGTGTACACTTTCCATATTATGGGCTTYTTACCCAACTGAGAAATTATGGGCTCATGGGCTTTAGCATCTGGATTCCCAACAATTAACCTCTCTTCCAAC